CTGGTAAACGAACACGAGCTTCTATCGTCGTTTGAACCTACAACTGTAGAACACTGGCGAGTGGAAAACTTTGAACTGATTAATGGAGGTAAAGTCAGGGATGGCCTACGATATCCGTGGCCTCTTCGAGATATGACGACAGAAAAAGATAAATAGCATCTCGAAATAAGGCAGTTTAATTTGGCTAAGAGAAAAGAAAGAGCGACAAAAATAGGAGGAATCAGATTTGCGGCCACAAATAGCTTGTCTCCAGAACAGTTTCCTGCCATGTGAAATCACTATGACTGGACCTGTCTCTAACTAAACAAGACGAAGACCTTGAAGATCGTCCAAGCCCAGCGCCCACAAGTACAGAGGAAGAGGCGGAAGGGGAAGGATTCCATCAGGAACTGGAACAAGCATTGGTCCCAAAGTTCACACATACCCTCGTCATGAAATACTTCAATGCCAAAGTAATATGAGGAAGGTGCAGTGAAAACTCTGTCGGTAGGTGGGACACAAGAAAGCGAAATGGGCGAGAAGATCAGTTGTTGACCACGTCGAAAACGAAACGTCTGCATATTGGCAACGCCTGGTTCTAAAAGAAGACGAACAGGAGGTTGAGATGGATGTCGCCCAAGGCGGCGATGAAGAACGAAACTGACTTCATCCTGTTCGATAAACGGCGCTTCGTCTGAGACGTAGCAGTACTGCTATCATTTAACACCAGCACTAATAGCAGGCTGGTACAGGTTAGGCTAGACTTCGAGGTGAAGATCGAATAGAAAACTGCAAAAGGGAAGTAGCTGCATATGATGACCGAAAGTATTCGACGAGACGAAGCCAGAAGCGAATTTCTGGCGAAAGCAGAAACCTGGAAGGCTGCTGCGACGACGACTGAGAGAAGTTCGCTGAGAAACTGGGGCTTTGTGTTATATCAGCAGAGGTTGTAGCATTAAAGTGAGCGAAGAATCGATATCAGAATAGACAAAGAATTTGCCACGGAAGCTAAAAGAGGACTTTTAAACCTTCTGACTGCAAAAATTAGAGACAACAGCCGAAGATCACAAAAGTCTCAGACAACGAAGAATATAGTTAATCCTATATCAGCAGACCATCGCGGGGCGTTGAAGAATGGGGAAACGCATTATCATCTCAAACATTAGAAATGCAGTCTATCTACGAGAAGTTATATACTCAGCTCTCAGCGTCAAAGACACAAATCTCCCCCACCATGACTCCAACAGCCAAAGGAAAGTGCAGTCCTGGTCTTTATAAGCAAAATTCGGCAAGCCGCGCAGCAAATGAAGGAAAGAAGAGCCCCAGGGAGACACAGTCTGACACCCGAAATGGTCAGAACAAACGGTTAGATGCTGTGAACAGCTTTAGCGGAAAGATTTAGTTAGTAGCTATAAACGATAAAAGTACCATCGAGCTGGAATGAGTTGGAAACAACCGCACTGTTCACGAAGGGCGAGAAGGAGACTTATTCAACTATCACTCAATCTGCTTCTTCTGACATTTCTACATGCTCTATGCTAAGATCAACTCCAAGAGACTGTTTACCAGTCTGGATGAACAACAACCAAGAGAACAGGTGGGATTACGAAGGTACCGCAGCGCAACAGGTAACATTTTTACCTTAAGTCAACTTCTTGAGCGCACGAGAGAGTTCTACTTACCTCTATATATACCCTTCATCGATTGCGAGAAGGCCTTTAACAATGACGGAAACTGCGCAACGTACAGTGTACTGGCAGAAGAACGCAACGGCATGCGATAAACGAAGCTGCTAAGTGTAGCTAACCGTGACTGCTTCACAGAATCGCACTGTTTGACCTTCTCTTTAAATTCCCGTAGAGAATGGCGTAAAACAGTGGGCACCGTCTTTCCGAAACTCTTCACTGTCTGTTTAGAAATGGCGTTCAGGAGGATAAACTGGAAGAGTGAAATTAACATCAATGGTGAGTTGCTTTACCACCGAAGGTTCGCTGATAACGGATGCTATTTATATAAAACGCAAGTAAGCATGATGCATAAGCTCGCGAGAAACAAGGTAGAGATCGGACGGCGATTCAATCGGTCAAAAGTCAGAGATATTAGCGATCGGATGTCCGCCAAAATCTCAGGTAAAATTAAACGGTGAAAAGTTCGAAGATGCCGATGCACATATGTACTCGGGTTATGAAACCAACTTACGGCATGATTAAGATGAGAAATTCAGCAAAGAAATAAGTTCGGGTTTTCACCCGTTCCATTCCAGCAGTAACGTCTTTCTTATCAACATGAGTAAAGAAACCCGCTCCAACCTCTTCAATTTCTTCGGCCCCTCGCTGTGAGACGTGGTCACTCATTGTTGCCAGCTGCATGCCACGGAGATGGGTGTTTGGAATTTAACGTTGCGACTACATGCCCGAAATGACGATCACAGATCAGACGGTCGTAAACTACGATATCGTCAAAGGCATAACAAAGAAGATGCAGTGTGCCGAACATGTACTTCAGCACACCGATGTGGGAAAGATATGCAATTACAGTCAACAGGTACCCTCGAGACCGCTTTGTCATTAACAATCACAGGTGGAAGACCATATTAGGAGAGAAAAGATCGCATTTGGAGGGAGAAGGGCTGAAAATGGGAGATGTTGCATACACGTTTCGGCCGGCGAGATTCGTCGTCGATTACTAGCCGGTCTAATGTAATCCAAGTGGTGCAAGTTTCTATTATTAAAAATCTTCAGATCTTAATCTAATAACCACTATGCTTAAAATGCATATGAATCTTTCCGATCCATGAGCTTCTGAAGTAGTTCAGGGACGGTCTTCATGGCATTTTGGTCATGCAAGAATTGTGAATATTTAATCACGCTTCCCCCTGTAATTTCCTAGTTAAAATTAAGTTTAAAATTTATTGTACTGCAAACAGTTATAAGATCTTTTAGGGGGAAAATTTATTTGGCAAACGAAGTTTTAGTCCTTATTTAATGGTAAGGAAACGTAACTGCTTTGCAAAATTTCAAATTATCATTAGGTTTGCATTTCCTTATGCGACAGTTACGGTAGGGATAACCACCGGCAGAGTAGTGTGATTTGCCGGTGCTGAGGAGTTGTGTTTGGTGGAAGTTCGGTTGTCGTTCGCTGCTTATTTACCTCGTAATCTGTGGATACACCTCCTTTCGTTGCTTGCAGCGTTCGTCTGGAGATCTACTGCGAGTACAGCGTAAAGTCTTGAAGATGTCGCTAAATATGCGTTAATTTGCGCTTTGTAGGCCCGCAAGTCTGTTAATATCATTCATTGAGGTCGGCGTTGGTAGAGGTTTTCGTTTTTAGAGGCGAGTGTGGTTTCCCTTCCGATGACTGATAGCGAAGGTGGCGGAGAACTCGTCGACAAAGTGGTTGTGAAGTCGAACAGTGATGATTATCCGGTGCCGATCAGCCAGCCAAGTAGTGGCCGAAAAGACTGGACAGCACGGGCTAGTCAGATTCGCGACGCCAATGTGGCGACGGCCAGTCGCTTGATTGAAGAAGGGATGCGCGCCGACGAAGGGTGCGTAGATTCTTTTCCCGCTGAAGCATTGGTAACAAAAGCCCAGGCTATGCTCCCCAAATTCAACGGTGACTTTAAAAAAGGTAAATCTTGGCGTCTTAAAAATTCGTGTGCCCCTCTCGAAGTGTCTTGCTACTGACGAACGATTTTGCTGACCAGTGCATTCTAAAAATTGTGTTCAAACGGCATTTATGTAAGATGTGTATTTATATTTATATAATGTTCAACACGTAGTTATAAGCCGTCGAATGACACTGTTCAGCATATGGTTAAAGCGTTTTAAGGACATTTCTGTCATACCAGAAATAATGAAGTTTAATGGTTCCTAGTATAATTGAATTTAATCCATTCTAAAATATAGACGGAGAATTTCTGTGAGATGGATATGTTCGTATGTCTTACGTATGCTCAACGAACATGTTATATTATCAGAAATCCGTAGTTTCCTTTATTTTTTAACCTGCAGAATTTTGAAATGTTTTAGCTG